CCTCCTCACATATAGCCGAGTTTATTTCCAACATTAGTACACTTGGACCTGCTCTCACTGTTTCTTCGCTTGCAGATTTTCTTGTTTTTCCTTCTATCTTGAAGATGGAGCGATATGTTCCTCCGAAACGTTGGTTAACACCACATCTTCGAAGACTGCCTTCTTCATAGTCACAGCCATGAGAACCTCAAATCTTACAAGTAACAGAAAGCTAGAATAAATTCCACAATTCGGAGTTTAATTAACTTGTACTCCTTCCGAATATTATTAGAATGATAAATCGCATGGGGCATGTAGCATCACGGTAGAAAACAGAAATGCATACAAAGTCTTGGGAGGAAAGCCTGAATGAAAAAGATACCGCTTGAAAGACCTAAGTTACCACTTGTAAGACCTAAGTTCGGATGAAGTAAAATATTAAAATGCATCTTAAAGAAATGGGATGGAAGAGTGTGGACTCGATTCATCTGGCTCAGGATAGGAACAAGCGGTGGGATATTGTGAACACGATAATGAACCTCCACGTTCCATATAATGCTGGGAATCTATTGACTAGCTGAGCAATTATCAGCTTCTCATTAAGAACAATGGTCCAAAGAGTTAGTCAGTTACCACACACCTTTCACCGCATCTAGCAATTTCTTTGCATTTCTGCCTCACAGCTATGGCAAGAATTCAGATGCTTATTCTGTATTTTCTAACAAGACATTACACTGAGATCAGGGAAATTCAATTAGTCAATTTGTGACATCAGCCAAACAATTTTTCCATACTGGTTGATCTCACAAGTCCGTGTAATATGTTACACACACAGACACGTTAGCAATGGCCTCAAACCAGAAGACATTTGTCTTTACTGCCTCTCAACTCTGCTTTAGAATATACCATGAGGAATGTCAAACAAAACCAGGAGGCACGGCATCATCCGTTTCATATCGACAGTGTTATTTGGGGGGGGGTCATAAATACCACAAACAAAAACAGAGAAGCTCTATCAGACTCTAGTAAGGAAGTAGGTCTAGAAGTACTCATAAACCCAGAAAAGTATCTATTCACAGTTCATCATCAGAATGCTGGACAAAATCATAATATTGTGACATGTTGCACAAACGAGAACCCCCCCACCAGCAGCAGTGACGCGGCGGGTGAGTCAGCGCTCCCCTCCCCCTCCTCCGCACGGTAACGTAACGGTGACGCAACAGGAGTGTTACGGTAGTAACAACGGTTACTACCGCTAGCGTTGCTATCAACACAGCACCAGGCAACAAGGCCGTTTTCCGTATTGTCCGATCGAGGCTACATAGGGAGCAGCGAAGGCTATTCACAGTTAGTTGTACTGAGTCAGTCAGTGAGTCCTGGAGCTACCGCCGAGTTAGCCAGCAACTAGTCAGTTGTATTCTGGCATTTGGAGTGTACTAATTGTGATACTGCAGATAGCAGTAACCGTAAATCTGTAATTTGGGTGATTGTAAGTGCGAATGTGAAATAAAATTCGCTATACAAAATACGGCGTGAAGTTATTTGTCGCGATATACGCCCGATACGCGACAACTGGTGTCAGAAGTGGGATCAGTAACGCAAGACACGCGACAATATAAAAAGAAAACTAACAGATCCTTTGAAAATTCTGTGAAGTTTAACTGTATTTGGAAAAGCCACTGACAAATTAAAATTGTATCCATAAAGCATTTGAAAGCAGATTAAATATGAGGAACGATTGCTAATATTCGGTTCTGAACCTTCTTGTCTTCCCATCTGCTACCTAAAATCATTGAGATTAAAACATACAAAATCATAATTTTGCCAGATGCTTTGTATAGGTGTGAAAGCTGGCCTCTCATATCAAGGGAAGAATACAGATTTAAGGTACTGGAAAACAGGACACTCAGAACATTTGAACCCAAGTGACAGGAGGCTGGAGAGATTTACATAATGAGGAGCTTCATAATTTTCAATATTTACCAAATATTAACTAATGGTATAATGATGGAAGATTAGATTGGGAGGAGGTTGGGGATCCATGGGAGAGAATAGAAATTAATATAAAGTTTTAGTAGAACTCAATTACTGTCTGGTGACACAACTCTGCATGAAGGAGAGGAGGTGGAGCAGAAACAGGAATGCAGAGTGAGTAAGATACACCACTCGAATGCACATGACAGCCTCTCCAGCACTATAATCTGCACTGAGACTATAAGACAAACTACCGAGCAGCACAGGAGGACGTGAATTTGTGGTGACATCACAACACAACTATCACTATATAACTGAAAACCATTCTTACAGGAAATAAAATACAAGGTTCTATTTCAGTGTGACTGATCAAACGACACAACTAACTTTGATGATCTTCACCACACGTGCTTCCAATCACATCAGGGTCACCAATGAGAATTGTCATATGAAGAGACAACCACTAGTTGAACTGTACTATAGGATTTATTGCAGCTGCACAGTATACACAGATGGATAATAATAGTGAACTGTAACTGTAACTCAGTGTATCTTCTTATGTAGCCTATAGTCGGACACATATAAAACATGTCACTGTCAGTATTGTTGTAGGCTTTGCCTAGCAACCGCTGTTTACTCGTCGTTGCTAAGCAATGAAGCTTGCGTTGTCACGCTTGTTTGAATGTGGGCAGCTCCCACAAACTAAAGTACGGAAGAGTGAAAGTGAAAATGTTCTAATGTATAGTTATCAGCTTAAGTGCTGTGTGGCCTTTGCCTCCTATCAGGTCCCTGCAATGTATCAGATGTTCTCTTGCTCTCACTGTGCAACAACTCCTTTCATGTCATCCTGATCACTAACATCTGAAGACAGCTGTGTTTATCCCGTGCTGTCGGCCCATGCGTCTGTTTCATAGCTTCAACCTGTCTGCAGACAGCAACTCACTGCTTCTTTCTCATGGCATGAAACTTTCCTGTGCCAGATGTCCAGCATCTCCCAGATTAAATGTCAGATTATTTGCAGACACTATAATTTCCGTAGCACCCCAAATTTGTTCTACGGTGTTTAAATCATGATGGTGAGTGGGGGAGGAAGTATGATCACTGTATGCCCACGCCCAGCAAGCAAGCCACCAATGGCAGAAATTTCATACTGAGGTTTGTGACTGCTGATCAGGTTATATGGCTCTACCTCTGTCATGTCAGAGCAGTATCCTACACTGTGATTATACAACCAGGAGACCATGGCATGACAGTTGATTTGAACATTGTTGTATAACGCTACAGCCATCCTCAACAACTGAACTGTATCTCACATTTAGTATGAGCTTCACCTGTAACCATTTCTGTAACTAGTGTGGTTCATGCTGTGGAAATCTCCATTTTTTATACCTGACTCAAATACCTGCACAGCATTCAGTACAAAGCCATGTTCTCTGACTCAAAATGAGGGTAAAAGTGAGCGCTGTGTAAGTTTAAGTACAATTGAGTGCATGTATTACCAGGATGGACAATACTGGGGTGAGGTCCTTTTGAAACAGGAGCCTTCAAATCTGTCCCAGAACCACCATCCCATTCATAACTTGCTGTATGTGAACTGTATATATAGGTCTCATCTGTATACACAATTGGTCTCCCTTCTTCCACATATAGTTTGATAGCATGTAGATACTTCACTCCAGATTTTATGATGTTCCAGGATTACTTTTTCATTATCAGAAGTCTTCTTTCAACACAGAAACAATGTAGGTAAACTGTCAAAAAAATTGGAGCAGAAATATTATAAACGTAATGAGCAACTAGAAACGAAAAATGTCTTTATATACATGGGACTTCTTAATAGAATATCTTGTTTCAGGGATCACAATAATGGCAGTTGTTTTAATATTAAACAAACTCGAAACCCATTCTTCTGAGTACATTCCTCAAGGACACACCTCCAAATTCCACTAATTCATGTGTTCTGGCATGGGCTTCAGTGTTAGTCTCTCATTTCTCAGGGAGAGAGAAATAATGAACTGTTCTTCTTAAATCAGATTCATCAAGTCATCCAACACACTCCCTGTACATTTTTTGGGTTTCAGTTTATCTAAAACACACACACTTACTTCAACTTCTAGCAATGCACTGAACTGCCTATCTCTCATATCTGCTGTCTAGGAACATGGATTCCCCCATTGCATCCACAGACAAACATTCTTCTGGCATCTGTGCCACTAAAAGTAATCATACTCTGTAAAAACCTGAGGTAAAGACACCAGTTCAAGGCCCAGGCAAAGATGGGATAACATTATAATGGATATGAAAGAAACAGGGTCAGAGGTTATTTATCTTTAGCAGTTGACTGAACAACTCGGTTAAAGTTAATAACAAACTGGAATGGATGTGGATGGAAGCAGTAATGGTACCATCCTGCCATTTGCCTGCAGATATCAAAGGAAACCTGTCATGGCCACCAGTGCCCTCACCAACATTTGAACCAGGCACTTGCCAAATACATGCCAGAATCATTACCCCTAGACCAAATCTGTTCAGCCGGGTTTAAGACTGCACACTGGCCTAAAGTGGTTCTCAACAGGGACAAGCGGCAGGTTCTTGTTCATGTGGAAATGAAAGTATGGGTTCCATGAAATGCAGGGAATATGACAACTTGAGCAAACTATTAGCTTCTTGAGATGGCCTTTGACCCTTGGAACTACTTTCTAAAACAAATAAAAATTATAAAATTCTTAACAAATGTTAAGCTCATTCACCGACCAGTGAGATATAGCAGTAACACCGAACTTTTGGGCAAGACAAAAGCACAATCCCAGACTGAAGGAAGCAAGCAAATGTGCATGATTACTTCTTTGTAACTGTACACAATTCCAAACTACTGTAAACTCAAAAACCTATAGTCTTCTAGGCACTGAACCTCCAAAAAGGTAAAGTGCTGGCATTAGACCAACTGTAAAACAGGTACTGCAGAAATCAACACAGATACAGGTCATTCCAACAATCAAGGGATGTCAGTCCATTTATATTGGAAATGTGAAAAGCATAATACTCACTAGGATTCATCAATGCTGCCACTGTGATTATATCTTCTTTACACACCATAAGAGATACCTGTAAGAAAACACAAAAACTATTTAAAGATATTTAAATATACAAAAAAAAATCATTTCTGAACGTTTTTGTTGAAGTTGTATGATAGTTATTTTACCCTTAACATTATCCATCATCTAAGTCCGATATTAACAAGTTCTAGAAGTTCATCCTGCTTCCAAGGCTCTGAGGCTCTATTCTCAGTCACAGTACTCAGGTTGAACACAGGTTAGGTAAAGCCTTCCCTGTGCTTAACTACTTAACCACTATGCCATGAAGACATATGGACAAGTGGATGTACAGATGCATGCTTTCTTGACCTTGGCAATAGTTTGAAGTGAGTGGTCAGTTTCACACCCCAACTACTTTAACCCCTGGGGAAAGAGACCCAGTACCCCTTGGACAGGAGGCTGGGTTGGACCCAGTTCCAGTTTGGATGGCATGAGAAGTGAAAATTATTGACCCCACCAGGGCTCAAACTCTGACCCCTCAGTCATCCAGTCTGTACTGTAGCCAGTTGCTCCTGGCTCTTGGTTGAATACTGTGGATATTCAAACACGGATGTTGTTTTTTTGCCATAAGCTACTTTACTTGAAGTGCTGAGTTTAAAAGACAGTCACATATTCCGCCTGTTTGGCGAAGGATGTGATCTTCTACGACGAGTTCAGTGTCGCAAATATTAAAAACCATGAAGATATGAGTATAATGCTTGATTGACTGTTTCAGAGGAACAAATTCATAACGGGTAACTCCTATCATACAGAAAAAGCACATCAGCAAGATTTTAACATCAGATTTTGTCAGCCACTCTTTTCAGTCTCAAGGACTCGGAACTTTTCCACTGAACATTTCAGAATTTCTCTGGGTCATAACAGAAGACTGAGATCCCACCATCAGTCACTTGATTCTGCACAGAAGTACAAATTTTCTCAACAACATTCCTGAAAGTTCTAAGCAAATTTAATTCATCCTAAAGTTTTTGACTGAGTAGGTTGGCTCAACTGGCGATGCTTCTGACTTGTATTGAAAAAGTCGCTAGTTTGAATCTCGGCCAGGGCAGTGACTGCAGTTTCTCTGGGTATTCCTCACTCTCCCCAGGCAAATGCAGGACACTACCTTAAATTGGATCATGCCTATTTAATTCCGCATACTTCCAAATTCATTACTGACTATCAACGAATCAGTGGATGCTATATACTATGAGTTGCTATATTTAATACAAACATAAATATAACATTATATCAACACTGCAAGCATCTGTTAACTTCTTCATTAGCCCCTGTAACACAAGTCGCTCATAAGCCTTCTCCTGAATGCTACTGCAGGCAGACAAAATACCCTTCACAATAACTGACGAAAATATCCCAATTATTATTATTCATAAACAAGACATGTCACCATACACCTCATAACGCAAATTAACATGATATACCAGAATGATACCACAATATCAGCATGATGAAAAAAAAAACAAGAAAAATATAAAAATTTACTGAATGACTGAAAAATGAAAACATCCAGCAAATCTCCAGAAATCGATCCCCAAGAAGATAACATCAACTAACTGCCGTTAAACAAGTTTAAAACACCAACGGTGGTAAAACTGCCAAACGATGCAACAACTTTACAAAACAGTAACCATTACAGCTTTCCTGTTATGAAACTGGAGCTTCACTGGTCAGTGACAATAACATAAAATCAAACTAGCCATGTTCTTAATATGTCAACAACTTTCATTTATTTTCCTATAACAAGCACAACTAAGACCAGTTTACTGGTCAGCATGTCATAAAATTATACCAAGTGAATAGCTTTGCCTTTATTTTATGAAGAAGTGTCATAGTGCTATTCATCTATATCTGAGGTACACGTCTTCCTAACCTAATCCAACACAACACTAGAATCCAACACAATTTCTACATTTCTACACACAAATACACAAAATTTCATAAAAATTTAATACATTCTACAATTTCACATATAAAACATGAGACTGACTGAAATAGAATTTCTGTTAAAATGTGATCATGCACTGATGCAATCTATTAATCACAAGTTGAAAGATCTAATGTGCATTAATGTCATTAATATAAAACTGTGCACATACATAAGCACCTAATATATGATGCTGGCTACCTACACTAATACAGTACCGCCTAATGTCAAACACTTATAATAAAATTAGTAAACAAAACACTACGGGTCTAGTTGCTAAACATAAACAGCCTCCAGAAACTCATATTACGAATTCTGGGTGCGTTTTAAATCCCAGAAACAGGATAACAGAGTCATCAGGGCCACAACTGAACAATGTAGGCGTTAACTCGAAGCAAACAGAAATTCGAACAAGGCAAAGTACATTAATATTAATAATACATTTCACCTTCTCCAAATCCATGACCCACAAATTATTATGACTACTAAAAATACGCGTTCAATTCCTTGCACACGCATACGTAATCCTTACACTACATTCCTCTTGGCTAACATGCTTACCCAGTATTATTAGGTTATTATCGAGCTGTTCCGAAGCCGTTTTATCTGAAAGTACTTTCCTCGCATAGTCGAACTGCCATCTTAAAAACGAAATAAAACCACCAATAACATATCAATAACTAAATCAGCACATGTGTTTGTTTTCATTTTGAAACACCAAAAACGTAACAAGGCGCTCCAGTTTCTCACCCTTTCGTTTCGCCGGTGATCCGAAAGCTTCACCCAGTTTCCATTTAAAGCTCAATGACGTCATTTTAGCAAATATGCAGACTCGCTAGCCAACCGTATTACTCACAACACCATCGCAGAATGAACTGGACTTATACGATGAAGCGAATCTAGGACTTACTTCAGCTAACATCGTCTGTATTCGCTTGCACAAAATATTCACCGTGAATGCAATCTGCAGTAATAGTTACAGGTTACGCAATTGACGTATTCGCGAAACGTAATAAGTAAGTCCTTCGACGCCAGCCGATACGCTAAATATATTAACTATATCATAATTAACCTATATGATACATGACCTTGACATAAATTGCAAGCACACTAACAAAACTAGTAGGTAAATTCGATGCGCGAATAAATATAGGCAAGAATATGACGCATACGGATTGATCGTGACCTTGTAACACACATTTCTCACCTTCACCTAGATGAAATTTTGTACTTGACAAAAATGTATATTATTACAATTTATATTAAACAATTTGAACTGTGTATTTTATTACAAGAATTACCAGAGGACTACTGCATTGGCATAATACTCGTACTTAATTGACAAGTTGACCTGTTGGATTTGAGGTTTTCACAGCGGTGGCTATGAAGACTTCTGTCTTCTGGGATACGGCGCAGTGCAACCTGGCGAAAATCAATCGATGCCTCAAAGAAATATCTCTTCAGAGTGAGACTCTGAAGATGGAGGCCATGTGCTGTATCGAGACGTCCATTGATTATCATTGGACTACACAACGTTATATCACTGAAGACAGTACTATTCTATATGTAACTTGTCCTACGTTTTCAATCTTTTCAATATTGACATACAATAGCGTGTGTTCAAAGTTTTGATACTATTTCCATATTTTAAATATTTGCTATCTTCCTTCCACTACTGTAAAAAGTATCAAGTGTCAGGTATGTTTCCTGAATAAATAGTAGCTCATCTAACCTATTAATTTTAACCTTACAGATCTGGTAGATATCTCTGGAATATTACGTGTAAGGACCATTACTCGACGATTTCGAAACACGTTGTTTGAACTGACTAATTTTTAGAAAAAGATTCTGTGTGACATTTGTATATACGTAGTACCGCTCGAAATTACAAACAATGTGTGTCGAAAGAAAGTGATGTATACTTATGTCTATAAGGTTCATAGCCGTGGTCTATAGCGGTCATTGCGGCGTATAGACACCTATCCGATAGCACAGATTTGGCCAACCACGGGAAGTGCCAACACGGGGAAGGGGGGGATGTAGTAGCGACATCTGAGCACCAGTACTTGAACTGCTTATACGCAAATCGTTCCCATCAGTCGTAAACGGTCGTAAATTCGTGAAAGATGTTGTTATGGTAGACGCTTAATCTGTCAGCTCCTGGAAGAATTACCGTATCTAGTCGACTAGTCGACAATCCAGGGAGGAGAGAAAATTAATAACCACTGTTCAGTCAATATTACAAAGAGGTATCCCCTCTCGGTCATTTAATCTAATTAGGGAACTGTCCCTCGGCCTTCAACTACACGTACGAAAGCCTCCTCTACGAGGCCGGGGTTTTCTGTCGATGAAGGAAGATAAATAAAGGAAGAAGAGGATTACGAGGAATTAAAAAAGATTTTCCAAGAAAGAATGAGAATTAGCAAATGTTTCGCTACAGACGGCTCAAAAATGGAGGACGAACCTTTCATAGGATTCGTATCGATAGACATAAAAGGCGATCGTAGTAGGAAATTCAGGATAGCCAAGATAGCGTCCACATTCGCAGCGGAAACACTAGAAATTATCCAAAAAATTGACTCGGAGCAAAACTTCATGATTTTCCCGGACTCGGCAATCGTGTAAGAAGAAATTAGTAAATCCTCTACAATGAACAACATATCGTACTTTTTTTTTATTGCTAGTGGGGTGGGACTAAGTCCCTTGTACTGCGGCCACTTCTGGCTTATTGTACCAGCCCCAGATGATAGGTGAGGGTGACTGTGGAGCAATTGGTGGAGTGAAGATTGGCAGGGGAAACCGAAGTACTCAGAGAAAACCAGCCCAAGCCCACTTTGTCCACCACAAATCCCACTTGAGCAGACCTGGGATCGAACCCGAGCCGCCGCGGTGGGAAGCCAGTGACTAACCGCTTAAGCTATGGCGCGGCCATATCGTACATTACTCAGATGCTTAGAGATAAAATAGTGAGACTGGGATCACAAGGAAAAATCCGATTTTACTCAGCCCTGAGGCACTGCAGAGTTGAAGTTAATGAGATGGCCGACTCAGAGGCAAAGCAAGCAGTCAAAGGAGGCAGGGATAAACTGTGAGCACTTCAGTTTGAATGTATTCATTCAGTTCTTAAATTGTGTATTGTCACCAATCTAAAGTGTGTTGTGTTGTTACCTTTGTAGGCAGTAAACTAACTTCATGCAGCTAAGCCCATCTTGAGAAGCCGGCAATTGTGCAGCTACTCAAGAACTTGCCAACATTTTATGGAACATGAAGGTTCATTACCATATTCACAGGAGCCCTCCATTGGTCCTTATCATGAATTAGATTAATCCAGTCCATACCACCCCAGCTTATCCCTCTAAGATCCATTTTAATATTATCCACCTACCTACATCTTGGCCTTTCTAGGGGTCTCTTTCATTCTTGTTTTCTCACTAATATCCTATATGGTTTCCTCCTCTCCACCATTCATACTACATGCCCTGCCCATTTCATCCTCCTTGACTTGGTCATCCTAATTATATTTGGAGAAGAGTACAAGTTATGAAGGTCCTCATTTTGCAGTCTTCTCCAACCTCCTGTCACCTCATCTTCCTTAGGTCCAAATATTCTCCTCAGCACCCTTTTCTCAAGCACCCTCAGTCTATGTCCCTTCTTAATATCAGAAACCAAGTTTCACACCCATAGAGAACCACAGGCAAATTATAGTTTGATATATTTTAATTTTTTTGGGGGGGGGGCAGCAGATGAGAAGACAAAAAGTTCTGGCCTGAATGGTAACAAGCATTATATGAATTGAATCTCCTCTGAATTTCCTCTTGAATGAAATTTTAATTTATTACTGTCATTTCCAAATATTTTAAATGTGCCACATTTTCAAAGAATCTGTTTGCTATATTCAAGTCATGGTTTTGCCCTGCATTCTGGTGATGAGGCAGCAACATATACTTAGTTTTCTCTGCATTTATTTCTAGAACAACCTCCTTACTAGCATCAGTTAAAATTTTCTCTTTTTTCTTTATGGTACCTATGTTACCTCATAGTAAATTAACTTCATCAGCATAGACCAGCAACTGACGTGTCCTATTTCATTTTAGTCACACCTGGTTCTCTAAAGTAAAGTTTAAAAGCAGTGGCGATAAAGCATCCCCTTTCTTTAGATCATTATCAGACAAATTTTCACCTATCTGGACTTCACAATAAATTTCGTTTAAACACATTTTAATGAATCTAACTTCTTTCATAGGTGCCACTGAATTGGCTGACGATATTATTATGTTCTTTTTCACAAAGAGGTTGTGTTTTAGCAACATGCCTGACCGGTTCTTCCTGCATGAACTGGTTGTTTCATAAAGCATTCTTATGCAAAGATTATGACTGTGTAAGGAGAGATACTATACTATATGTAAACATGACTAAACATGACTTCTCCTGCTCGTTTACATGAAAAGGCTGTGTGGTGTTCTGTTACAGCCTAAACTCTATGTCCTTGTGAGGCAACCACTTTAAATTACATATTATTGCCATCAATGCCTTTTTGACAGTAAGAAGATGCCAGTAATTGAATATGCACATGTCCCTTTCCACTTCTGAACCAGCTAACTCAGTTTCATAAAATTTTATATGAATGTTATGACATTTGGTGCAAATGATGTTATCATTTTCCAAAAATGTATAAAAAGGTAAAGATATCCCCTAACAGTCCATGAAAGTCTATAAGGTTGTGAGATGTCGAGGCTCCCACATTTTCTAGACAGTTGTCTCACAGATGGCAGTGACATTGTCAGCCTTATGCTCCATGGCCGCCCCTTACCCCCAGGAAGATTCCTGGTACTCATTTCTATTAGAGGCTGAGTTGACCCCAGGGCCATAGTGTGGCTGGAAGATTTAGGTCAATTGAAGAATCCAATGACCTCATCAGGATTAAAACCCACAAACTTCTGGCTTGTAATAAGTGCCTCAACCAACTCTGTTATCACATGCCCCCTCAAAGAATGGATTTTCATCTTTCAAAAGATGTCAGTATTGCATGCTGTCCTCTACCAACAGGAAAAGGAAGCAGTGATTATGGGTGCAAAGAATCAGTTTTGACAAATTTATTGAAATTAAAAAGAAAACATGCAGGATACTCTTTTGTTTACATTCTGAGCACTTTTGTTACTCTGATGAGATGTTAGGACACACAAATTCATGTGCAGGGTGTCCCATAAGTCTTGTATCAAAGGCCAGCATACCCCTCGTTCACACAGGAGCAAATGCATATATTTTTGGCCAGTCCAGAAGAATGGCATGAATTATCTGTGGTGCGATTTCACTCTTGAAGATGACATTGCCTTTGGTTCTAAACATATGGAACATTCTGTACTTTCATAAAGTAGTTCTGACATTAAAAAAATGCCTGAATTTTTCATTGGATTCAAGAAATATCACAAGTTAGAAAGTGTAGAAGTGAACAGAGTAAATATTATAAGTAATGACTTTTCTGTCAACGTCATTAAATCTCAAGACAAGTTTCAGAGAAATCAAGGAGTCTCTAGGACTTAAGCAGTTCTAAGAAATACTGATCTACATCATGTCTCCAATCTTCCCCAAGTTTTGTTTGGATGAAAATACATAGCCTTAAAAACTTAACTTTTTATTTCTACACTTATTATGTTGGGTATATGATTAAAATATACTGTTAGGAATTCTATTTTCAGTGCATAAAGCAAATATTGTACAGTAAACTCCCATTATCCAGCATTTACTAGGAATGGGTTGTTCCATTTGTGTGAATCTGCTGGTTGTATGAGAAAAATTTGTAGAAAACCAATTTCACCATTTTTTTGTTCTTTTACATATGTCTGTTCCCTGCTTTAAAGTCAGCACAATGAATGTTCACTCTTGTTCTTGTGTGAGAATCCCCTTAGATAGCATGGTGGATTGATGAGTGAAAGATTTCGGATATACTCCTACAATGTGATCACAAATGCAGCTAGCTTGTGCTGTAATCACAGATCAGTAGGACTTTGATAGTATCTGCATAAAGGAGGTCAATGGTTAGTCCTGCTGGGAGCTGAGACAGCTACCATGCATATTGCATTTTTGTTTTTGAAGTAATTTAGAGAAAATCATAAATATTCTTCTAAAATTTTATCTATTGCATGAGAATTCCAGAAATTTCAATTTAAGGTAACTGTGAGCTTACTGTATTATGTTGAGATGTTTTTAGGTGTGTTCTTATTCTTGCAGTGTGCCTATTAAAATTCCTTATCTGTTTGCATGAAACAACATAAAAACTAATAAACCAATTTTAATTAAATTTAATCAAATTACAAAATATTGTCTAACTATTTAATTTTCATTGAAGTAAGGCAATAATTCAATCTTTTAAGAGATATGTAACAGATACTGATGTGTGTCATTCTGCCATCTAGACTTAAAAAGAACAGTGTACCTGCCCTAATTATCAAGCATGATAATCTGATATAAACGTTCTAATGAAGTAAAAATATAAACAAAGAGCAGTATAAAATCCGATTAGAATAAGACAAATATAAAATTGCCATCAAATATATATTGTTTATGGCAATTTTAGCTACCATAACATCAGCAATAATTTCTGACAAATCTAAATTCAGTACATAGATACCAAGTTGACTTTTGATAAAACTATAGTCTGTGTGGTAAGACATATGAAAAAGTAGAATTTATGAATGGCATCATCAATGGCATTTCTCAAATGAACCTAGTTTCCATGTCACAATTTGTGAAAGAAGCTGGTTATTTGGTTTTATACCCTCCTCCTTGATTTTCCCATTAGATTACACAGATATTTTCATTAAAATTATAGCATGGGGTATAAGTTTAAGTGTAGTGTGAAACTGGAGACAAAATATATTATAATGAACACTTTTTGTGTCCAATAAAATGTCTACTTGTCCATAAATTTATTAGGAAGGAGGGTTGACTCTTTTTAGTTTACTATATTTTGTCTGTTTGGAAAATAAATTGCTTGAAATAATTTGCTTACCTGATTAAAGTAAGATTAAAATAATNATATAATGATCCATGGATGAAATAAAATTGAATTGAACTGAATGCAATGTATGGGCACAGAGTAAACACATAATTTATTTGAATCAGTAGGGCTTAATTTCCAAACATTCATTAACAGAAAGGTCATTTGATTTTACTGGAGCTTTAAAAAATCATACTCTACTTCATAAGGTGGCATATGGGCACAGACCCATTTCTTGATATGCTTGTTTACTTGGAATCCATCTCAAGTGGTACACATGTTGGATATGCAATGCAGGGTTTCAATATCACTTTTTTCATGAACAACATTATTTTGATGTGATAAACTTCTGCTCTGGAATGAGGAAGACTGAAGGAAACTGGGTTATATAGAAACAGTTACTAAATTGTAAATAATGTAATTACATAAACTGTACAATGATCTGAAAAAAATGGCATGAACAGTAAACATCAGTACTTATAGTAAGTTGGCTATGTACAATACTTTGATCAACAAATGATCATACAAACAACGTTTCTAGTTTCATATTCTCTGTTAAGATGAGATTTGAGAAATCCTGAAACAACAGATGCCCCACCGTTAGACAATAAAAATATTTTTCGCCCAAGGAAGAACATGAGAAAGCAAGTTCAGGGATGATACCAGGAGTAAAGCAAACCTAAATATACATCAAGTAATATGGTGAGGTCATGATACCAACAATTTTCCAGTGCATAAATGAACTTGTACATATTCAACAAATTGATTTAGGACAGAATAGGTTTCTTGTGCATTATCTTCCCATTATTTAGATTCTACTGGAAGATTTATTTGCTTATTTAAAAATTAAATGTATTTTTATTTACAAGAATGAAACCAAACAATAAAAAATGGTAAAATGGTAAAGTTGCCTCTGTGCTTAATTAATTAAGTACTATGCCATGAAGAAATGTGGGACAGTTGAGGTAGAACTCCTCCATTCTTAATCTTTGCAGTAGATACAGGTGGTTGTTTAGCTTTGTGCTCTGGCCACTTTACTCCCAGGGAAAGAGCCTCTCCTGTAGGTCTTATTTAAGAAATTTAAAGTAAAACATTGAATCGTGTTGTCGGCATGCAGAGGATAAAAGGCTGTGTGGATGCTATATAGAAGAGACAAGTCTCTTACCCATGCCAGAAATTTAACTGAGATTTCTTGGTCATTCAGCGTGTAGCCTAGTCACTGTGCAACCAAACAGCAAGAAAAAATATTATTTTTCCACATTAAAGAAGCAAAGCAAAATTAAAAAGAGAATTATTAAGAAAATTCATGGGCTATTTATCCATTGCAAAATCATTCAGTAAGAAATCAAATTCCGGTTTGAAAGGGAAATGTGAAAAATTCTGATATATCTAACAAATAATAACAGTCACAATAAAAACAGAAGAGAAGAATGAGAAATACAAAACATTGAATATTTCCTTATTTATTATCTTTTGATGATCCTGATATATTATTTTTGAAGATCTGTTACATTATTTTTTCATTAGAGTTCAATTCTATCTTAAGGAGTGAGGTGTTTTTATAATCAGCCTACCTTAATAGAGAAATTTTATACCTATTTGATATTCTGTGGAAATTAAATGATTATCCTGCATTTTACCTTTTTGCATTTGTTTTCATTACCAGCCATTTCGTCTGTATATAGTGAGTCTGCTCTTATGTTCAAACATGATAAACTTCCATCAATATCATACGAGTATGTCTTATCTTATACTGACAGAATGCTGGTATCTTCAAAATAGGACACTAATACTTTGTAGCAAAGAGGATGTTTGAATTTTGTGTAGCTCTAGGCATTGCTTCTTTCCACAGTTAAACTTGCACCTTTGACCTAAACATGACAATTATGGCATTCACAAGTGTCTGGCAATTCTGTAGACTTCAATATGGGATGAATGAATTGAAAAAATTTGAGCTTCAGATATGCCATATCAGAAATAAAACATGACAGCCCATTCTGTCACTATATATTAACAGTGATCCCTGACTTTAGATTTAATGGGTTTGGTCATGTCATTGCTCGATGAAATGTAGAAGAGTTGTCATGAACTGGTAGCAAAGGAAAACTTGGCTCTTGTTTTATGAAGTGTCACACCACTTTATGCTTTCAGAACATTTCACCATATCACACGAAATGAACATGATGAGCATTTAGTACTCATAGACTAGGGATGTAGAAATATGCACATGTCTTAAATATATTTTGATATTCTCACTATGTAACAATAAGCATAAATATGTATGTAAAATATATACAGAAACCAAGACTGTGTTATAACATTAATCCCCATTTGTTCTGTTTTGAGGGCAGTCATTGTTTCTGTAACTGTTTGTAAACATTATTCCCAGCTTCAGTTGTGTACTTTATAAGCTGTTTCCACATACATTTCATTAAAAATAATATACAATTAAGATAAAAATTAATTTGGTATTTAATGAGTTAAGAACATATTTTTTAGTGAGTGGGAGATAAAACACAAGAACCCTAGTCCTTTGTTGACATTGAGATTCTTACAGCAGTGATTGCGAAGTGTTTTGTCTTGTGGAAAGTAACACTGCATAATCCAGTGAATGTCAACTGACGATGTTTCAGAGGAACATACTGCTTCCATCTTCAGGCATGCTTGTTTCATTCTGGTTGCTTGCTTGGCTTACTCTTTGACCCTGAAGGTGGAGGTGATATGTTCTTTCAAAATGCTGACTGCCTCTCACCAGACTGTACTGTGTTCTACTCTGGAAGAGGGACACTCTTGGACCCTATGCCTGTCCTCTCAGTCTGCCTTGTCTAGTAATCTAAAGAGTTCTATATTAATAAAATATATGGGCTAAGCAGCCCCAGCAATTGCTGTCATAAGATGCACTGTTTGGCTGAAGACCTGAATTTTGGACTTTGGCTTCAATTTGTAAAATTTCACCCATAGTTACGAGGCATAGTATTATCACTAATTCACTTGATGCATGCAGTCTTTGTGTGTTCCACAGTAATGTAGCTTGAACAGCTGCCATGCACGGGGTAACACAGAGAATCTTCAATATAAAATTCACTACAAAAGTTGATATGTAATTTCTCACGTCTGAGCAATGTTCTGTGACGTTACTTCTTTCCTCCAATAAAGAGAAGGCAATGAAAATTGTGCGTAGAAGTGGATGATGTTGACCATACTACTGCTCATTTAGTGACATGAGATTCAGTATAACAACAGTAAAAGCAAAAGCATTCCAAAAATCATTCCAATATTTTCAGCTTGCAAAGTACACACTGAGTGGTCCTTTATTGCTGTCTCACCTTCTCGTCATTGGAGGACAAAAGTTTCTTGTTAATTATTTCTGGGTTACAGTTTCATGCAGTCTTGAAAGAGAAAGACAGAAAGTTCTTACAAAATATCTCACATTCCTTCCAAAGCACTGCATTGCTGCAAACCAAAGATCTCAGACCTCAGTATTGTTGTTCTCATGATAAAGTTATAGATCATCTGCATAGTCTGATTATAATGAATACTGGCCTTAACATTATGTTCCATGCCATGGTTCACAGGATGTGTATCTACAAACTGGCAAATCATCTTAATGAAGAACAACTATCACTGTTTGGGCCAACCCATCACCTGTAATTCATCTGAAGCATGTGTTCGATTTGTCAAGCATTATTTAAAATGTTTTCAATTTTTGGTGAGTTACATTCTCTCAAATGTAATATGTTTCATAAATACATAATATATTTTGATACAGCTAAGATTCATTACATTGTTTGTTGATCTGTGGTCTGTATTATCTATTTATAACTTCTGGAACAATTATGCTGTCTTCATTATGAGATGACAATTCCATGTTTCTGAGAATACATTTTGAACATGTTCAGGTTCAGGCAGCTCCATGTCAGCATGAGCTCTACACTACAAAGAGTTCATATCAACTGCATGGCATACTTGTGCACTAAATTCAATGGTTCCTTAGTGAACCATTGAAACTGAATTGTCACTGGGGGCAGAGGGCCATCATTCAGTCCTCAAAACTCTTTTTAATATGGCAAGAACTTGATCTGAGCTTGTGCCTTCATATGTCATCCATGGGGACCCTCTATACTTACTCTTCCTGTTAATATCTCTGTGGAATTCTCTAATTTCAACTTGGTGTAGCTACAGAACTGATAACCTGACATGTGCTGGTTCCACCAGCTCTCACAACCTTGGCCTGTGCCACAAGTCCAGAATAATCTCATGAAAAAACTAAACTTTCAGTACAAAACTGTCCATCACTACACTTCAGTAATCAATCCATTGATATCAGTCTGGGCAAGAGTCTGCAATGGTAGTCAGATATCAGGTAGACATAACATCAGTTTGTTCGTCCAAAGTGACTTCCATTCCAATACTTGTACACAATTTTAAGATAGTTGTGGAGATATTTCTCTCAATTAAAGCATATTTATGCTACTCTGGAAGGCAAACTATTTCTGAAGACATATCCACAATGCTGGAGTTCACGTTTGTTGCAGAAATATTCCAGAGCCATCTGAATGTTCCTCAATTACGAAAAAAATTCCTGCTGAGGAAGTCAGACAAGTTTTCAGACTTACATTTCTATCAAATCACACAATGGCCTCTTTGAGTTGGGAGAAGTTAATGAGATCATCTAGTTGGGGGGGTGTTTCCACTTTGTCACAGCTGTAATTGTCAATGCCTTCTTCTGACACCGGGATAGTTATGCTGGATAACCTACTAGAATCATCTGCCAGATCGTCCATCTCTGTGCTGTTCAGACTGTCCTCGGGGGAGTCCTCATGCACTGCTGGTGTTAGTAGTGAGCTGTAGAATGCCTCCACTTCCTTTGTTCTGTCTGAGGCAGGCCATTTGCCTCTGCACTTCTTGTTCTTTAGATGAATTTGCTTTAATTCTTTAGGATTCCCATGGCTGAAGTCCATGTTGGCAGACTTCTTCTGCAGATCCAAGTTGAGCAGCAGGATTCGGGACATACTCCCCAGAAGAAACATGGCACCAGTACAGAATAGCATGTACATCAACACCTTCTCAACCATTGGCAACACATTCAAATACAGGATGAACCGGTTGTTGAGATCTTCTGGCAGACTGGACATCCGCTGCAAACAAACAAGTTGATTCGTTCATGTTGCATCAAGTGGACACTTACATCTTGAAACAGGAAACTGCATGCATGACAGGCAACAGGCATACCAAATAAAGTCAATACATGTGGCACAGGAGGACCTATATTTACTTCATTATGCAACACTGTAAATATGAAAACACCAGTTGCAGTAGCATGGAAGACACAGCAGTTCCTTCGAATTTCAACACAGCTCATGATGGCCAAGTAGGCCGAAATATGTAGTGCGGTGTGAGAGAGAGAGAGATATTGAATTTTAGACCTTGAATTATTAATTGGGGGACAGTAGACAACTGAATATAAATTCTAATACTGAATAGATATTTGTAGACAGCCAACAAGATGGTGAACATTCAGGAAATGATATAGACTGAGTGTGCTTGAGAACAGGGTGCTGATGAGAATATTCAGACCTAAGAGGGAGGAAGTAACAGGAGGCTGGAGGAACTGCTTAAGGAGGATCTTCATAATTTATTTTCCTCTCAAAAACTGTTTGAATGATTTAGTCAATGGAGAAGTAGGGCATATAGTGTGCCTGGGTGCAAAAAAAAAAAATGAATACTGAGTTTCGATGGGAATGCCCGAAGAAAGAAGATGCTTGGAAGACACTGACTATATGAAAGGATAATATTAAAGCAAATTTTAAAGAAACAGAGTGGGAGAGAGAACTTCATTCATTTGCTCCAGGATTGGAACTAGTAGCAAGCCCTTGTGAATATGGCACTAACCTTCAGGGTCCATAAAATCACTATGATTTCTTCGCTGGGTAAATATCAACTTGCCAAGAGTGATTCTACTGTATAGAGTTAGACAGTTGTGTGTTTTCACCTTGTTAGCCACTTGGTGTTATTATGGTGTTGGTGTACTATAGGATACAAAATGGAGGACATCCCCTAGCTTAGCCCTGTATGGTGCACATAATCCTCTCACAGAGAGAGCTCTGACAAACAAATTATGGCAGTATAACCCTTACATATTGTGTGAAGTTTATGCCACTACCAACTTACAGTTGGCCAACTTATGGCAGTATGACCGTTTTGTCTAGTATTGAAGAAATTTCAGTGCCTGATTTCATTAAGTCCATTTCATTGTACTACAGTCATTACATCTGGTATTGAAGAAGTGTCAGTGTCATGTTTTTGGTAAGTTTAGTACTTCTAATTTTGTTAAATTTGTGGGGCCAATCATGTATAAGCATTTTTCATTTTTTTAAGACTAAATAAGTTTAATTGAATTTATTACTACCACTGTCATTGGTCTGAGTATCAGACAATATATCACACTGGCACAAAACTGTCCCTGAATGGGACTTTTCATCTTATGTTATAATACGCAGTTATTCAACTGAAAGATTATGACTGATTGTGTTCTGGTTATGTTTCTTGCTTTCATTGCCCAAGATTCACTTACATGTAGTAATGTTGGTAAAGCTGCAGTTTTATAAAATGTCTGCCTCTGATATGGTGTAAACCAAAAAGACATTGATATGTGAGGTGTGAAGAGGTTTGACTGCTTATACTGTACCACGAAGTGAAGAAGAAAAACAGGAAGATTTATGACTATCATAAAAGTTCCATCTCATATTATACCACATGTTTCCAATTTCTGTGCTCACACTGGGGCTTGCAGTAGTGTAGTTGGTTGATGCACTATGCTACAAGCTGGAAAGTCGTGGGTTCGATTCCCAATGAGGATTGGATTTTTCAATTGAACTAATCCTTCCATTTGCACTATGGCCCTGGGATCAGCTCAACCTCTGATGGATATAAGTACCAGGGATCTTCCTGGAGGTAAAGGTTGGACAGCAGGTAAGGCTGATAACATCAATGCCTTCTGTGAGCTAACTGTCTAGAAAATGTAGGAGTCTCAACGTCTCACAACCATATGGGCTTTAATTTTTTTTCTCTCTCTTTTTACCCTTTTGATTTCAGATAACTGAGCTATTATGCATTGAGTATGAGTTACATGTTTTCTTGTACAATAAATTTTGTCATCAGACATTTACTTGAAACATGAAATATGAAGCACTTATCTTAATGTACTGTGGGTAACAGTTTATTAAATTATTTTTCTCAGTATTAAAAACATAAATATTATGCACCAGAATTTAATTCACTGCAAGTTCTGTTTGTAGGCAACAGCACGGACATTCATTCAGAACAGAAATCCGTCAATAGCAGACTGTCCTGATTAGTATAAGGAATAGCTGTCATAATATTAAGCATCAGTTTTGCTTTCAGATGCAGTATTACATATTATCTGTGCAATTGAACAGCCATTCTGAAACAAATGAATAACCGTTATAACTACAGATATCAAGAAATATGCTTTACTGATTCATGTACATGTCTGGTGATGGTATCTATCACCTGCTGAGACAAGTAACCCAGGGTTCATATTTATAACTTGTTTTACAGAACTGAACACAGACTGTATTAATACTGAAGTCTCAATATGCTGTGGAAACATGCACTAGACACTACATCAGTCTCAACAGACCACTGCCATTAAGAAGCATGTGTGAAACACTACTGTTGATCCAGTTGAAAAAATTGTGTATATACAATGCTGTTCAGAAGAACAGCAGAGTCAATGTCCAGCAGGTATTCAGTTCTTAAATCCTCTCTGTCTTAATGTGAATGTCATCTTCGTGTTGTGTGATGTGGTGTGTTTTCATCGACAAGACTCAGTTACCATGGCAGTATATGTATGTGGCAGAAATGACAACCACAATTTTGTATATTTGTAAGGGCATTCTGAAATGTGCTTTTGATTTCACTGTTTGATAAACTGTCAACCAAATAAAATACTAGTAGTCAAGTCATGTATGTGACAATCTGTCGAGAAGGACATGAACAGAGAATATCTGTTGGTAGTTAATGCTTGCTGCAGTCATTTCCAGGTGGATGACAAAGATGTTGAGTATAACTGCATATGTGCTCAGGAAAGTTTAATGAATAAAGGCAAAATGCCAGGATAATGTTCTGTAACATGCAGTTTCTATGCAGTATGGAATTGTAGGCCCATAACTTAAGATACTCCATCTTCTAGACTGCTTATTCAATAAATGCACAGGCACAGCTACATCTTAAGGCCATTTTCTCCATCCACAACTTGAGGCTGTGCCTTATTGTATGGTGTCAGGAGAGATATTTACAGTGTTTTGTAGCAGTTGGGGCTGCTCTGCTTTTGACGGGTGGGGGTCATAGCACACTGAGGTAAATACAGAATGTATTTGAAAATAACAAGCTGTGTTATCTAGTGCTTGGTGTGATGATACAGAGCTTTATTCTTAGTGGCTTTGTTATGTCTGCCTCCCACCCCTGGGTGACAAGAGATGTCAACAGTCTGAGATTAGTGAATGCTCAGCAGAAATATTTAAGGAAGTGTTAATGTAACAGGAGTCTGATTCCTGTATAAGTTATTAAGGTTAATGGGTCTGAGGTTTTCAAAGTGCTGAAGTTCTCTCTGAAGCCCATTGTTCTGGGATGCGACACAGAGAACTCTGGTAGAAGCTCACTGATATTTTGGAGTAGCATATTGCTTCCATTCTCATTTATAATCCAACTGAGAACAAAACAAGAACAAGTGGAGTGAGACACTACTTTGGCATTCACGTTCCCAAAGATACAATATGCAATGTAACATTGTGCTGTGTGTGATCAGGAGTGTAAATGGGAAGCCACTAGTTCTGCCCTGGAGGAAATTTGGAGTTAGATATCACAGTGTGTTTTAATATTCATAATTATAGTTTGTATTACGGGTTACCCTATATGAGCTGATAGCCCTATAGAATGTGTGGGTCGAGTGCTGTACAAATATGAACGTCAGCAGCAATGTGCAGCAATGTGATATTGACTAAGGAGTGAGTTCTGTTTGTTAGACCGGCAAAACCGCATATTGGGGATGTTCCCAGAAATGCAAGAAAGTCTCATGTGGCATGAATATCAAATGAAACAGAATTTAATTTCATACTGACACAGCCTATCCCAAAAGAAGATTTCTTTGCTTTCATTCACTATAAAAGCTTCAACACGTACATAAAAAAACTATGCTTTAGCAGGCCGTGCAGGCCCATAGGGTTGTAAGATGTCCAAGCTCCCACATTTTCTAGACAGTCAGCCTCACATACTGGCTGCACTTTACCCCCTGGAAGTTTCCTGGTATTCATTTCTGTTAGAGGCTGAGTCGACCCCAGGGCCATAATGCAGTTGGAAGTATTAGGTTAATTGAAAAATCCACTGGCCTTATCAGGATTGAATCCAGAGCCTTGCGGTATGTAGCACAGTGCATCAACCCCCTACACTACCATGTGCCCCCTCACTTCATACATAGCTCTGTATAATTTTAGCTGTAAATTGGTGATTATCTCCAAGAATCAGTTACACTGTCAGCAAATGACCTAAACTTTGATCAAGGAATGGTATACAAGGCTGTGTACATATACTTACAAATTCGGTCCACAACATTGGCAATATCATGTTGCTGAACTTAGCAGCTCTGGGAATGCCTCTGAGGTCCCCAAGTGCCATGTTGATCTGGAAGCGCACCATTACATCCAAGGGAATGCCTGATCTCTGCAAGATAGAAACCACAGCTGTAGGTCCTTGAACTTTCAAGAGTTGTTCAGGGAGCATGCAGTCTGAAGATTCTGACTATTCAGCCTGAAAGCACTGAGCATTCACCATAAATCCTTATGAAATCAGGAACTTCATTATGTCCTACCAGACATTATTTCTCAGTACACACTTTTTTCACACCGTGACAGTGTCACAGAAATGTGAACACTGTTGGTAAATATGTATTAGAATTCCATATACACAAGGGGGTCCAAATAAATGCACTCACTCTTTGATAGTCAATATCGTTGGAACAAAATGACATGTAGTTACAATTCTTGCGCGGCAGTGTAGAGCAATGTTTTCTCAACAGATGGCGAAGGTCATATGAGTCACATGAGTGTCGTGCTGCGTGCGCGCTGCGAGCAGAAGACAGCAGCAACAATGGATGAAGGGTTGTTCTTTGAGCAACGCAATGCTGTATGGAAGTGGTACTGGAAGTACGAAAACATTAAAGAGGTATAATGACAATGGCAGAATGACATTGGAACTCAGTCACCAACATGTCGAACAATTGCCCATATTCGGGATAAATTTGAAGCCGACGGCACTCTTCATGACGTGCATAAGCAAAGAACTGGGTGACCACGGATAGTAACAAGTAACCGTAACTGGTAGGGGTGTATCTCGATATGCTTCAGACAACGATTTTCCCTGCCATTCGAGAGCTGAGAGATTTTACCAACAACAAGATGCTGCTCCACCTCACTACCATCGAGATGTTAGAGAGTTCTTGGATGACACTCTACCTGGACGATGGATAGGTCGAAAAGGTGCTACTGAGTACCCACCACGGTCTCCAGACCTAACACCTCTTGAAGGAAGCAGTCTTCTGGGATTTGGCACCGTGTATATGTGGTGTTAACCGATGTTTCGGAGGAACGTATCGCCTCCATCTTCAGGGTAGAAGGAAAAGTATAAGAAATCTGCAAGCGAAGAGACCGTGAGAACCGGTAATAGCAGACACCTCTTGACTTCTACCTCTGGGGAATCTTGAAGGATGAAGTTTATTGACAAAAGCCAGCTAATCTGAACGCACTATGAGAGACTATCGAAGCGCCATGTGCCGCCATCACACCGGACACACCGACAGCCGTAGTTCGCTCAGCAGTTCGGCGGCATTGACGCTGTTTAGCCGCTGATGGTGGTCACTTCGAACACAAATAATGACTCTCTCTCTCTCTCTCTCTCTCTCTCTCTCTCTCTCTCTCTCTCCATGCAAGAATTGTAACTACATGTCACTTTGTTCCAAAGATATTGACTGTCAAAGAGTGAGTACATTTTTTTTGGATAATATAATAATATATATTGCTTAATTACTTGCTTTGTTAACTCAGCAAAAACAATTTCTGTAGAAGGGCATTCCTGATTTACAGACAAATTTTCAGCGTTAATAGATACATGCTTTTGTACATCAAGCATCAGAAGTATAAAGCTTCTGGCCACCATTGTCCTTAAGGCTTATGTAACCTTATGTAACCTTTAACATACATATTTGACAAGATCCTACAAATAGGTATATTTCCTGATAGATTAAAATATTCAGAAGTCAACCCTTTTTATAAGAAAGGAAATAGAGCCATACTTCATAACTACAGGCCTATTTCGCTTCTCCCTACATTTTCCAAAATTATTGAAAAATATCATTTACAGAAGGTTGTATTCTCGTTTAAATAATAATATATCGGTAATGGAACAGTTTGGTTTCCGAGAAAAATCATCTACCGAAATGGCAACACAAAATATTTTCATCCTTAGATAATAAAAATTATGTAGGAGGATTATTGTGTGATTTACAAAAGGACTTTGGTTATGTCAGTCATAACATACTCCTGGCTAAGATGGAATTTTATGGAATCTCAGGAATAGAAATTAAACTAATGAAGTCATACTTGGAAAATAGATATCAGAGGGTATCAATGAAAGATATTAATCATAATAAAATATCCTCCAAGTGGGAGTTTGTCAAACATGGAGTACTGCAGGTCTCTATTTTAGGCCCTTTGTTGTTCCTCATTTACATAAATGATTTTCCATTATCTGTAAATAAAATAGCTAACCCTATATTATTTGCAGATGATACAAGTATTATTATATCTAACACCAATCCTGATGAATTCAAAAGTAACATTAGTTTAGTCCTAAATGAAATAACTACTTGGTTGAAAAATAATTTTTTAACACTAAATCGTGAAAAATCACATCTTTTACAATTCTTCTTAAAAAAATAAAGAAATGGATATGCAAATAATATCTACTAACTCAGTAATTACTAGTATAAATTGTACTAAATTTTGGAGAGTAAACATTGACAGTGCTTTGTCATGGAGGGACCATATCACTAAATTATCGTTAAGATAAAATAAGGCCTGTAATGCAATAATGGTTATAAAGCTGTTGATGTCATTGGACTCAATGAAGATGATCTATCACTCCTATGTACCCTCTATTTTGTCTTATGGTATANGAGCGTTGCAGAAATGCGTGATAATGTGGGATGTTCCCACAGTATTATTTTTTGGGGTAATTCTCATCTCAATGAGACCACCTTCAAAATTCAAGGAAGAATTATAAGAGTCATTACCAGTTCAGGTAGATATGATTCGTACCGGGAATTCTTCAAAACACTGCAAATATTGTCACTTCAGTCTCAGTATACCTGTATTTTCTCACTTCTTGTTTTTGTCATTAAGAATAAAAGTTACTTTATATCTAATTGTGATATTCATGATATTAATACATGTTACAACTATAGTTTACATTTGCCATCCACAAATTTAACATTCGTACAGAAGGGAATACTTTTTCCTGGAAGTAAGATTTATAACCACTTACCATTATATATTATGTTTATGGATGTTTATGGAAAGTGGAGGATATGTATGTATGTATATGACGAGTCCTGTATCAATGTATTTTGATTTATGGGAAAATTGTATTAATTTTAAGTTTTTATAGTAATGCACTTTTTAAATTATGTTTAGTTACAATTGTAATAAGCTCTTGTTTTGTTTTTTATATTACCTATGTTAGTTAACTGGTGTGTGTTATTTTAATTGTGTGACTTATGTAATCTATTACATGTATACATCTATAATCAAATGGACTATTTCCACATCCTAGGATTTTTGCCTGTATGGATATATGGAAAATAAAGGAAATGAATGAATTAAAATGCACTCTAAAGACATTAAGCATTTCAAATCCTTATTAAGAACTTATCTTACAGAACCTGCATTCTATAGTAGTGATGAATATTATCAAACAACTTCTCAATGAAATACTCTGAATAATCTGACTGACTGTGAGAGGACTTTTATTGTACGAGTATATGCTAGTAAACTTGTATTAGTGTTACATTTATTGTTTTGTAAGGACACCTGTGCATCTATATTTAAGAATTGTTGTGCTGTTTTGTTTTTTATTTGGGGATCTATTATGAGTGTATGACATTATTGCTTTTATCTTATTTTACTAAGACAGGTTCTGTATCCAACAGGTTACGAGTTGACCTTGTATATATTAACAGAATGCTAATAAATATGATATGATATGAAGTATTTTATCAACTTGTTAAATCTGAATTTTAACACTGCACAAGATTCTTGTTCATGTGACATACTTTATTCCTTTCTTTATTGAAATGCAGGATGTCCCAGGAGAAAAGGTCAATATTCTGGGAGGTCATAGTGTCGGTCATTCTAAACAAAAAGTGTATATGTACACATGTCCTATTCCTAACGGTTTCCAAGATAGAGCTATTCATGTTATCACCTGTATAAAGGAACATCAAGATGCACTCAGACGAGCAAAATGTCATGTCCTCGCACAAGCTGCAAAGTGCACTGATGTTGACAGTGTAATTTTCAAAAATGTATTACAATAGATAAACTCTACCAGATTTGTCACTTGAAAAATAAATACCAGTATTAGAAACAGTTCATAATATATTTTACTTATCAAAACTTTTGGAACTGTACAGTGAAATAGCTCTATCTTGGAAACCTTTTGGAATAAGGTACATGTACATGCAAAATTTTTGCTTAGAATGACTGATAATATGACCTCCCAGAATATTCACCTTTCCTCCTGGGACACTGTATATACGGTTCTTTCGCTGTGCGTATTTATATAATGAAGTCCAATCACAAGAACTGCATACTACCTTAATATTATAATAATACAGTAAAGTCAAGAAAACAATGTCGACATGCATAATCTCTTGGAATTATATTTTGTGCAAAAGGAAGAATTTTAAACCTACAGAACTTACAGGTTCAATATAGAAGTGTGACTCATGTTTCTTCTTGTCAGGATATGAGCCTTCCACAGCCTCCACCAGTGCTGGGTCACCCTGGTAGAAATGAGGATATGATACTCCGATGGGAAAACCTGGAAGCATGGGGCCCTGATTAGTGTCATTTCTTATTGTAGGACCCAGTAGAAAAACTTTCTCCATCTAAGGTTACAAACGTGTATGGACCCACTGTATGAGAGATTGCTGTGCTGAATAGTAGTATCAGTATTTCTCAGACTTCCCTGATCTGAGGGTCCCTTGATGTTAGTAGAAATCACTGAGGCCCTCCACCATATAAAAATTACTTATAATGTGATTCTGCAATTTAAAAATAGAATTACCATTAACTTGTTTCATGAAGATGAGTTCTTCAGATTCTGCCAGTTGTGCAGCTACTGAAGAATTTTCTAACGTTTTATGAAACCTGAAGGTTCATTACCATGTTCACAAGAGCCCTCCACTGGTCCCTATCCTGAGCCAGATCAAACGATGCCATTCCACTCCATCCTATTTCTCTAAAATCCATTTTAATATTGCCCACCCACCTACATCTTGGTCTTCCTTCTGGCTTGCCCACCACCTCATCCTCCTAGACTTAACCACTCTAATTAAGCTTGGTGAAGAGTACAAGTTATGAAGCTCCTCATTATGCAGTTTTCTTCAACTTTCCATCTTTTCATCTCTCTTCGGTCCAAGTATTCCCCTCAGCACCGTGTTCACAAACATTAGTCTTCCTTCCTTCCTTAATGTCAGAGACCATGTTTCACACCCATACAGAACCACAAGCAAAATTATAGTTCTGCATATTCACATTCTTACCTTTTCAGGCAGCAAATGAGAAGACAAAACGTTCTGGACTGAATGGCATCAAGCATTTCCTTAATTCAATATATTTTTCTCAGCTTAGGTGGTTTATCCAAAGAAGACATCTAAGTCCATTACACCTTAGTATATGTGTGAACTACTTTTTCTCTTGTATTGCATATCCATAATTTTGTGTGGCCTTCTGTTATAAATTTATGTGTGTGGTAGTTATTCTACTGGCATTAGCCATGGAAAGAAATTTTAATGGCAAGCTTCCACTTTGGAAATGCTGATTTGCAGTAGTGGCATGTTCAAACTGTTAATTTAATTGCCTTACTTTTCTTCATCTAGAAATGCAATCCTGCTCTCATTAAGGAAACTGGCAGTTGGCTGGAAGCATTCTTGACACGATATGCCTTCTATTATTTATATAATGTTTACAGCACCATGAATTGGTCATGAATTAGAGTGAGAGGATGGAATTTCAATAGAAAAGCAACTGGATTGAACTGAATGTCCATTTAGGGTCAACATATCTCCTGATTTACATAATAATATTTTCACGTGTATGGACTGAATATAGACAGGGTTTGGATTGGTAACTGCATTTATTGAACACTTACAGATTGTAACTACAAGTAACTATAGTGCCATTGCTAATTCAGGCACTCTGCAGTTCACTACAGCACGTACTAAGTCCTCTCGGTCTGCTGTGTCTTCACTGATCGTCTAGCAGCGGCTTCTAGCACCATAGATCCCTCAGTTTCTGTGTTCACGTCTTTATGTTCTCACTGGCTTCGCCTATCTCACTATTACCTCCTACTCTTCTAACTGCTGCCTCAAGACTCTTCTCTACTGGGACTCAGAGTCAGAGTCAGAGTCAGCGTTACTTTATGACTGGCGGTTTACCGCCCATCAGTTTGTCTTAACGACAAGCCCCTTGAGACCCATCACCAGAGATTTTTCTTTTGCAACTAAACCCTTGCAGTCATAGTCCTCATGTAATATCTTCACTGACGAGAGAATGGGTTGGCAGCTGGCACTCGTTATATAGCCTCGGCACGGACCACACACAGAAGACCGCTTCCAACAATTCTAATGTTGCGTGCATGTTAGTTACGACAATTACCTAGCAATGGCCGTCGGTTACGAAGCCATTACTTAGCAACGGTTGCTATATAACTGCTTATTTCACAGTTGTTGCCCATTGACGGGTCTACATGAGACAATATACTTCTTACATAGTTCGAGGATGTTAGAGAACAGGGTGTTGAGGAGAATGTTTAGGCATAAGAGGGTGAAAGTAACAGAGGTGTAGAGAAAACTGCTTAATGAGGAGCTTCTTAACTTAAACTCTTCACCAGATATTATTAGGATGAAGGAGCATGAGATGAGCTACCCTCATAGAACGCACTGGAAGTTTATAAAATTTTCGTGAGAAGATCTGAACGAAAGACTACTTGGAAGACCTAAATGAAACCAAAATATTAAAACATATATTCAACTGAAATTTTTGAGCTCGGCTTGACGAACGTTTCATGCAGGTTACATTTCACAGATGCCACGATCTGGTGCTTTAGGCTTGTGAAATATATCAGCAACGTCATGTAACGTGATTCGTTGTCACTCACCATAGTAGCAGTCATGAACGTCGATAAGACCGGCTGGCAGGCATTTCCCATTGCGACAAAAGCACTTGTTCTCCGGGATGACCTCCCCGTTGTCCAGGGAATTGTCGAGGAAGGTGAAGCGATAGGCTTTTAGCCCTTGAATTGTCTTCATTTCGCCGGTGAACCTCTGAAACGGACAGCTACAATGGGTTCCTGCTTTCTTCGCAATACTTCTCACAACCCACAATTTTTAAAACTATTTTACCTCGCTTGTATTTTCGACTAAAAGTTCAATTTCACGTGTAACTAGAAATGCCCACCTAAATCCGCGTATCTATGGCCACCAACCGGATGATTATGGCGTCGGCATAATGCGATATGCACTTGAGAACCCTGCGACGCTACTGATCCCTGACAGAAGCGCGCATGCAGATGGATTGAGCGGCTATCGAAGGGAATTTCTCATGTAGCCTTTCACCTCTACGTTCAGAAATTCAATCCTGTTATCGTGTCTCCAGCCCTGTGAGGTAAGGCAGGTATGATGACGTCACACAAGTGTGACATGGGAAGATATAATTATGTTCAAAAAAGTTGATAGTGCTACTCATTCCAACAAAGTTGCCTACCTCATTCCACTACCCTGATTAAAGTGGCCGTTTCAGTTGCAACGATTTTTTTTTCCTTGTCACTACAGCCCCAGTGGGCCTAGGCCTACCTCCATGAACTCCGTTCACTTCGGTTTTTCTAGATCTTACACATTCAGTAGGACTCCTTGGGCGGGTGATCAGCTCGTCGTAAGGCCTCTACCTGTACACAAACACAGAAAAACGCACACACACAAACTAAACATCCATGCCCTGAGTGGGACTCGAACCCACGATCCCGGTTTTCAAGCCTTAGACCGCTCGGCTACCGTGACCGGCTGTAACGACTTAGTGTCGGTAAATATATCAGTACAGACATAACCTGAATAAGTTGGACTTGTACTAGGGAGATGTTCTGTTGGATTCTCGGCCGGGACGTTGACTGTTCTGAGCGAGATATTTTTGTCGCTTTCTTCAGTCCCTCCGGGAATATGTTAGGATAGTACTTCGATTAGGGCACGACCGCTCCCTTCCGAATCATTTCCAATTCACCAGTCATCACGTCATCCGACTGAATTAGTTAAATAACCTACCAAATAGTATAGGAAAGAATATATGTGAAATGGCTTTCCTAAGCGACATGAGGCAAAGGTTTTCGGAATGAATAAAGCAGTGCCATAGCTCAGGCAGTGCATGAAGTGTCTCTACGGATACTGCGGTGTCAATTCTGATTCCACGAACCACACCACATTCACTCATCCTCCTGTCCTATCATGGCCGTTGTATAATCCCGATACTGACACTTCCACTTCAGAACCGTATCCTAGTCGTCCTTCCTGCGACCAATACTGGGAGGGAGCTACCGGACACTACGTTAGGAGCGTCTATCAGTCAAACATCTGCTGTATTCAAGTGTCTTGAGGCTACCGGACAATACGTGAGGAGCGTCCATCAGGCCAACATCTGCTGTATTGAAGCGTCTTGCTGCGCTACACAATGTTACGTTCGCCCGTCTGTCCGTGTATGACTCCGCACTTGTTGGCACATGTTCTGGGCAGCATGTGTCCCTGTGCTGGTGCACTGAACTTGTCATGTTAACATTTTTCAGTCCACATTATGGGTTAAAACGACTTTAAAATAAAAATTATTATAATTAAATTTGTGCCCACTTTAGCTCCTTCGTGTTGTGGTAATTTTGTAGCCCTTCGTTGCCCCCCTTGTTGGTCAGCATTTTTGGTTTTGTGTTGCTTCTGAACTGCACTATCTGACGTAATGTGACACTGGTCTATACCGGACTGGAACGCGAAGTTCTCATGGAGGTGACTATGGAGGAATGTGACTCCGTATAGTTTGGTAGCTATCTGCTGACCATCATATCCGAGGATACAATCGTTTTCATATGTCCCTTGTTTACCATATGAACCAGGGTTCATTGGTTCTCGGCTATGGGTTGGACAAGCGGGGTTCGATTCCCAGTAACAGGAGGAATTTTTCTCTCTATTGTCCAGACCCACATTGGGGTCCACCCAAGCCACGAATCTTCGTGTATCCCATACTTCAGTAAACATAGCAGCATTTCCGAGAATCACCTTCAATTTTTGTGACCCATTTATCTCGCAAACGCGCATGTTCTCGTAACAAACTGTACCTATTTTCCTAAGTAGACTGATGTTAGTGATCGAAATGCTATGTTTTCTCGGAACTGGAGTTAGGATTGCTAGATGAGTTTCACTAAGAATAGCTGGCCCAAATCAGGGTTCTCATATAGTAGTGAGCACAAGTTTATGATTATGATGTTGGTAATTATAATGTTTATGATAATAATAGTAATAATAATAATAATAATAATAATAATAATAATAATAATAATAATGTTGCAGTTTTTAAGGCGTTAACTAGTAATAATAAAACGGTAATGCGAAGTAGTAAACGGAGAAGTTCATGGAGGTAGGTCTAGGCCCACTGGGGCTGTAGTGCCAAGGAAAAAAATGCGAAGTAACTTAGTGATGTAGTTACTAGCCTATGGGCCGTGCCATAGCTCAAGGGGTTAGTCGCTGGCTTCCCACCGCGGCGGCCAGGGTTCGATCCCAGGTCTGGTCAAGTGGGATTTGTGGTGAACAAAATGGCTCAGGGGCAGGTTTTCTCCAAGTACTTCGGTTTCCCCTGCCAATCTTCATTCCACCAATTGCTCCACAATCACCCTTACCTATCATCTGGGGCTGGTACAATAGGCCAGAAGTGGCCGCAGTACAAGGGACTTAGTCCCACCCCACTAGCAATAAAAAAATACTAGCCTATGAGCAGGACAATCTAAGAATTGGAGTTCGATTTCCAGGCAGGGTAAGAGGTTTGTTTCTTCTTCATAGTACCCAGACTGGCTCTGGGGCCCAACCAGCCTCCTATCCAATGGGTACCGTGGGATCTTTCCTCATGGTAAGGAGACCGGAGACTGAAGCTGACCACTAACCTTCATCTAGAGCTGAGAATGCATGGAGCCATATCTTCATTCTCCCTACGTCTCCATAGCCTTGTGCAGGTTTGAAGAAACTGTCAAGTTTTTTTAAGAACAGACAAGTGACTCATCTGCCTTCCTAAATGCCATGTGTCTTTTAAAGTATGTACTCAGCTGTGAGCAGCGTTTTTCGTTTTTCATATTTCGATCAAATTTACTGTAACCGTATAAGCGAGCGTTTAATGCAACAACAATAATAATAATGACAATAATTTAATAAAAAATGGTAAAGGCAAAATTGTCCCTGTGGTTATCTAATTAAGCACTACGCCATGAAGGCGTATAGGGGAGTGGATGTGTAGATCCATATTTTCTTGACCTCGGCACTAGCTGGATGTGAGTGGTCAGCTTCACGCCCAGGCTGATTTTACCCCCGATACCCATTGGATAGGAGTTTCGGTGAACCCCAGAGCCAGTCAGGACGACGTGGAGAAGAGAAAATATTTGACCTTACCGGGACTCGAACTCTGATCCGTCGGTCGTCCAGCCCATGTCCAGTCGCTATAACAACTACGCTATCCCGGTTACAATAATAATAGTAATAATAATACCGTTGGCATTGCCCGGCAAACGGACTTCCGGTAGAAGTAGATGGTGTCGTTGGGCTGGATGAGTGACGGAAACTTTGTGGCGTCGCTGGCCTCCCTGACGCGGCTGCAGTGCCCACCGTGCCAGTGAGGCAGTCTGGGCAGTCTTCTGTACGTGTCGATGAGGCCAGCCTTCCGCACGTCCTTCTCGCCGGTGTACACCGTCGCGACGTCGCCGTCGAAGTCATACATCTGCACAACAAAGCTTTCAGTTCACATATGGGACGCTGGCCCCGAGGCAGGAGCTCAAAATACAGAAACTACTCGAAACATCACAACAGACACAAGTCTCCTCGCGACATTACTGAAACCTCAGAGCAAGGGTCTCCAAACTACGGCCCGCGAAAGAATTGTGCAGAAATGAGCCAATTCAACTAATTTTCCAGTGAGTACTGGTGAAAAAAAAATACTTGTTCATAGATTTCAAATTCATTAATTAAGATTGTGTTTAAAATATATTGATATTCCATATTATGTTAATATTAATATTATTCACAATTTTACTAATTCTGGACTGTGTACTGCGCGGTATTTCTTCGTACTTGTTCGGCCTCGATCGGCAGTGTCACTTCGTGGCAATGTAGGTAGCGGGAGCAGTTCGTTACTACGCACAAGACTTCTTGCAGTGGTGCAGTGTAATTGTAACAGATCATCATCACCTCAATTTAATCAGATTTTAAGAATGCAAAAAGAGATCCATCATTCACATTAATTGTTTTATTATAATTTGTCATGAAAATATGAGCATTTTCTGCTACTGTCTGTTGTCATTAATATACGATAATTTATTCTCACATACTTTGTATTTAGTTTATGAAATCCTGTGCATTCAATAAAAGTCATATACCTAGAGTTATTAATTTCTCATTTTATCCGGCCCGTTGAAAGTGCTGAATTACCTAATGTGGCCCGCGTTTCGAAAAGTTTGGAGACCCCTGCCTTAGAGCATAAGGGTTTGTTATGCTGGTCTGCACTGCAGCAGGTATAATTGCTGCTGTCTGCCACTGGCCGCACTGATGGCAGCTTCGCTCATTTGAACACAATTTACGTGACGTCCAACCTCCACAGAGTGATGTGAAGTCGACGCCGGCTCATTGTGAGTAATGACTGGGCATAAGGCAGTCTTGCCGAAAGGCGCCCCCGTGTCAGCATGGAATAACTGGCCGTCCAGACATCTACATTGGTAACTAATGTTTCTTCATCGTGTTTTATTCAACGATACTTTCAGTATGGACACTATATGGCAATTGATGGTAGGATGAAAAGGTAAAGCTATCCCTGTAACAGGCAGCGAAGGCACATAGAGTTGTGACACGTCGAGGCTTCCACATTGTCTAGACGATCGGCTCACAGATAGCGGTTAGGTTGTCAGCCTTACGCGCCGTGGTCGCCCTTTACCCCAGGGAGATTACTGGTACTCATTTCTGTTAGAGGCTGAGTCGACATCAGGGCCACAATGCGGCTGGAAAGATTAGGCCAATTGAAAAACAAAAACAATGACCTCATCAGAAATCGAAACCGCGACCTTCCGGCTTGTAGCATAGAGCCTGAACCAACTACGTTACCCCCACCCCCTGATGGTAGGATGGTAACAGGAAAATAATTTCGGAAGGATTTGGAATGAAGAGGTCGTAGGGTGAGACGTTACCCGGGAATTTTCCTGGGAGGGGCTGAAAAAAAGTCACTAAAAATCTCAGGAAAAGTATTTGGTGTGTCGGGCGAGATTCTGACCGAACACCTCCCGAATACAAATCTACGCCGCTCCCTCTAGGTTAATATCTTGCTAATTTTTTTTAGTATTTTTGTGGTGTTGTGAAACTGAGTCCACTTTGTGTGTCGGCCACAAATTGACCTACTGTACCAGCCCCGGATGAAAGATGATGATAAGTGTGAAGTAGTCGGTGGAATGAGAACTGACAGGGGAAAGTGACGTACTCGGAGAAAGCCTGTCCCAATGCCACTTTATCCACCCCAAGTCCCACATGTACTGATCTGGACTCGAACCCGGTCCGCCGCTGTGGAAAGCCTGCGACTAGCCGCCATCCATTTGCTAAGGGTCACCTGTTAACAGCATCGTGACAAATGCCGGGCTGACCCTGCAACGACTGTACTGAAGTCACACTCACTCTGTCTATCAGTCCAAGTTTATCAAACTTTATCCAGCTGGGCATGAAGGTGTTGCCGATGGTCACCAGGGGATTCTTGTACCCGAACATGAATTCGCGCGCCGTGATGGCGACCAATCCCTCCGAGTCGGTCTGTCCGGCTAGCAGATTGATACCCATTCTCGTGAAGAATGACATGTCCTTCACCACGTCCGCGATGCTCTGCAACAGAATAATGCGTCTGTAATCCTCCGCAGCCTTAACCCTCAGAAAGAAAAGTGGTAACTATACGCACCAGCAGCTTCAACATTACAGGACTGCGCATTTTATTTATCGTTTCGTATGCTTGTTACAAAAAACTGACAGCATTAAACGGCAGGTCTTTGCAAACATACTTCCGGTATTCATGTACAGGTGGGAAGTTCAAACATAAGTACACAGGACTTTCCTTCCGTAAGGATTCCTGCACCAGCTATGACGTAGTCTGGTTTGTAGAGCAGTTCGATTTTTTTTTTCGGTTTCGTACGGACTGTATTCATACATTTAAATCGGACGAGTTTTCGCCAGTGGGCGCCCGCTTGTTAATCCTATGCGCACATGTTAAATTAAATAATTGAAATGTCGCGGATACTGTTCTTTTCTCGAAGCTGTACATGTAACAAGCTGTGGAGGCCCATAAGGTTGTGAGACACCGAGGCTCTCACATTTTATAGACAATCAGCTCACAGATGGCTGTGAGGTTGTCAGCCTTATGCACTTGCCGACCTTTATCCCCCCATGAAGATTTCTGGTAAGCATTTCTGTTAGAGGCTGAGTCGACCCCAGAGCCATAGTGCGGCTGGAAGGATAAGATAAATTGAAAGAAACCAATGACCTGATTGGGACTCGATCCCGCGACTTTCCGGCTTGTAGTAGTAAGTGTACTGTTAAGTTTTCAAAAATAATGTATCAGCTCACTTCTTATGAAGTTTTATGGGATATCTGTACTCTGTTGTTTGCCGGACTGCTGCTTGGAAATTTATGTGCCTCCGGGGGGCCTAGCAACAGGCCTTGTCTACACAGGTTCTCCTTGGCTTTCCTCTGTCCTCAGCAAGTGCTGAGATGGTTAACAGCTTCCAAGTTGCTAACGCGTGTTACTCACGTTTCAATTCGTCAAATTGGAATCCTTTTTTTGTAGGTCTCCGAATTGTGCAACTCTCAATTAAAGGAAAAATAAAAATTCCGTGGTCCTTGTCCCCAGCGGTTCGAAATAGTTACTCTCTATCATGGTTCAACAAATCCGTTTACGAATACCCAGGCTGATGGGCGTTGCTCTGGTCCTGGACAACTTCCTTGCCCGAAGATAACGTACCAGAGCAGGCAGTCTGATATGTCGTCTCAGTATCTCTCTTCCTTCATTAATGCATCAAAGCGTAAATGGGCCATGTTTTGCGTCCACTTAGCTGTGAGGTATATTGCTTCTTGAAGGATATTTGCCTTATCTGTACGTCGCTTTCGAAGCTAAGCATCCAAAACTATGAGTAAAATACTCGCATAATCGGTTGGCAGTGTTCTATCCTTCTTTCCTCGCATCACAATATTTATACTGTAGCATACAGACTCGTTGCTAGGCAACGACCGCGAAATCAGCAACTATACAACAGCGGTTGCTAAGTAACAGCTATACAAAGAAGCAAATTTCCCCGGCAACAATTGCGCTGCAACATAGAAACGATGTTTTATGTGCGGTCCGTGCCGAGATGTTATAAGCAGAACAAATTAAGAGTGTTACAGTTTCATAACAAACGACTTACTACTGCAGACAATGGCTCTGACAAAAGACAGACCCATCCTCTCATCAACTGTCAAACTGTACTAAATATCTGGTCATGAGCCCCAGATGAGGCTCGACACCAAGACTCACTGATTGACTGACCGTCAGCCGCAATGTGACTTTGATTCAGTTAGATAACCGTTGGGGTTCAGTCGTTGTGAGCTCTTTCTGTAAGACGATGGTAGCTGAGGCCGGAAACAGCTTGGGAATACAGAGGAAGAGGAACGTCCACCGTTGAAAGCAGTTACCAAGCAACGGCTAGTGAATACTTAACAGGCTGAGAAGAGCTAGTATGTCCTATAGTGATAGAACAGTGAGATCATACTCCTTATTCGCAGCTACGAGTTGTAAGAGTTCAATAAATTCTATTACCAATCCAAACCCCGTCTATAGTCACTAAAATTGTGACAGTACTAAAGCATTTTTAACTACTGGAACTTTTCTTCTTTGTGGATAAAAATATGCCTGAGAGTCTGAAATCGCCATGCCCTCTGTATTTGTGTCTGCCTGTGCTCCCTGTGGAAAGTGACGCCGTCGCTAGTTTGTCGCTTGCGCGCTAAGTTGTGACCAGTAGCTGCAGGAGAGTGGAAGTGTTTGTCGCCAATTAGAGACCAGGGAACCAACTTCCGCTTTTTCACCGCGAAAAGAAAACAATGGCCAATCGCCTTCATGCAAATGGATCAAGTAGAAAGGAAAGTCCGCTGCGTCAAACGCATGCGCTTGAACTTGGCCACATAGGGCTCTGAACAAAGTTCAACCTTCCTACACGGAGTTACGAAGCTAACAGTATTGCGCCGAATTTAGGATTTGGAACGAGGCGGTGGTGGCCGATTTAGTTGTACTTTCTTAAGGGGCAGATATAAACCATGAAAATACCTCAGTCAGGACATTTTATGTCCCGGCCGAGATTCGAACGGAGCGTTATTGCTGTACCAACCCTTTCGGTTCCTATGTCATACTCTTCAAGAGAGACAATGGCATTGTTCCTGTTCCCCTTGCAGAAATCCGTTCCCGAACAGAAGCTCTCATTTCTCTGGCTACACGCAGACCCTGTTACAGCAGGTAAGTGTTGAATTTACGGGCAAGTACCGTCCCTTAAAATGAGAGTGCAATGAGACAGTACATCAGCTATTCGTAGGTTCAGTTAGGAGGGAAGAGTTGTACAATATTCTGATACACTTTGGGGTACCCATGAAACTAACTAGGCTAATTAAAATGCGTGTAAATGAAACATATGATATAGGTATGGTGTGGCATAGGAAAATATTTGTCTGATAATTTTCCTATACAAAATAGTCTAAAACAAGGAGATGCTTTATCGCCACTGCTCTTCAAATTTGCTTCAGTATATGCCATTAGGTAGGTCCAGAAAAACCAGGCGGGACTGAAATTAAATGGGACACATCAGCTGTTGATCTATGCCGATGATGTGAACCTACTGGATGATAATATAGATACCATAACGAAAACAGAAACTTTAATTAGCGCTAGTAAGGAGGTTGGTTTAGAAGTAAAGTAAACACAGAAAACCAAATGTACACGTATGTTGCTGGCTCGTCACCAGAATGCAGGGCAAAATCATGGCATGCAGACAGCTAACAGATACTTTGAAAATGTGGCACAGTTCAGATATTTGGGAACGACAGTAACAAATCAACATTTGATTCAGGATGGACTCAAGAGGAGACGGAATTCGGGTCCAGAATCTTTTGTCTTCTCGTCTGCTATCTAGAAACGTAAAAACTATAATTATGCCTGTGGTTCTGTGTGGGTGTGAAACCTGATCTCTGACATTAAGGGAGGAACATAGACTGAGGGTGTTCAAGAACATGGTGCTGAGGAGAATATTTTTGGATCGAAGAGGGATGAAGCGACGGGAGCTGGGAGAAAACTGCATAATGAGGAGCTTCATAACTTGTACTCTTCTCCAAGTATAATTAGAATGATCAAGTCAAGGAGGATGAGGTGGGCAGGGCATGCAGCACGCATGCTGGAGAAGAGGAATGCATATAGGACATCGGTGAGAAAGCTTGAATGAAAGATACAACTAGGAATGCCAAGACGTAAGAGGGCGGATAATATTAAAACCATTGTTAAGATAAATAGGATGGGGTGGTATGAACCAGATTGATCTAGCTCAGAAGAAGGACCGTTGAAGGGCTCTCGTGAACACGGCGAATATTATTAACCGATCATTAATCGCTTTTGCGAACACAACTGAATGTTACAGATGTTCCGTTTTCTCCATTAAATGAAGCACGCTGACAACTGAATTAACTCGTCCACGCGTATGCAAATTCAAATAAAGCTACCCCTATCAACAGGCCGTGGAGGCCTGTAGGGTTGTTAGACGTCGAGGATCCCATAGGTTCACACATGGCGATGAGGTTAGCCTTATGCATCTGGTACTCATTTCTGTTAGAGGCTGAGTCGACCCCAAGGTCGAGTCAGTTGAAAAATCCAGTGACATCATCGGAAATCGAAACCACGACCTTCCGACTTGCAGCTTAGTGTGTCAACCAACTACGTTGCCGTGTTCTCCGTCCTATTAGTAATTAAAATATAATTCTATAGAAGATTGTAAACAACTACGTTTTTGAACTTCTCTGAATAAACAATTAAGAACATTTCAAATCATAGCAATAAATACGTTTGCTTGAACATGGATGCTGTTTGCAGTTCCTGCTACTAAATTCACCTGGCAAGTTTACGCTGTAAACTTTTCCGTTCTTGTTTGTTCTGCGTTTGACAACTTTAATGTGCTGACTGGTCACAAAATGCTGTCAACTTAGACCTCACGAACTTGGCCTACAAAGGGCAGGTGCACAAACTGGGAGACGGATGGTCATAGCCTGTTTCAGAGCGGCCCACTGTCGCAGCACGCGTTAGGAAAATGGTTTCAGGAAAGCTTTGTGTACCGTTACCTTCAATAATTTACTGAACGACGATGTATCGACTAGCTGAACGTGGAAATACGTGTATATTGGGATTTTCATTATATAAAGCGTGATATACAGTATATAGACCTCTATTACTCTATATACGTGTATGTATAGTGAATCATCAGATTTGCGACTAACTTTATTGTTTGTTATTCTAGACCTTCAGATGATCTAGAATTCTGTGATGTTAACAATATTTCATTTTTATGCGTCCTTGTAGTGTTTTCTTTGGCCATTATCCCTTGTTTTTTTCTGTAGTTTAATTGCTAAGACATAAATAGTTACTATGTGCAAAGAAATTGACTTAGAAATTGTAATGCAAGATTATCATCGAGTTCTGGTTTTCAGTTCAGGGGGGTCAAATGCAAAAGTATTGTTAAGTAACTTTTGCTTAGTTTCGAGAAAAGCGTGTTCAACATTAAGAACGTAAAGTAAAGCTATCCTTGTAACAGGCTATGGAGGCCCAT